CTCTGATCTGGGTTACCCTCTCCAGAGGCCGATCTATATGAGTAAAACAAGGTATCATGAAGTCTTGAGAAAGTAATCACTTTGCTCTTAGATACGTTTAGGTCCAATTTATTTTCTACACTCCACTCAAGCACAGCTTGAATGTCTTGCTGCAGTAATATACAATCCCTTTCCTCGCTAACTTTCAAGTAGAGTTTTAAATCATCAGCAAACATTAGGCAATTAGCGTGTCGGAGCCTTTTGGGTAGATCATTTATCATGATCAGAAACAAGGTCGGCCCAAGAGTACTGCCCTGACTCACTCCCGACCTTGTATAGTACTCTTCAGATTGTTGGCCGCTCATTTGAACGTACTGTCTGCGATCTTTAAGATAGTTGGCAAAGAAATGCAACAACTTCGGAGTAAAACCGACCAGAGAGAGCTTATTTAAGAGAACGTCGTTATTAACCACATCGAACGCTTTCCTAAAATCAAAATAAGCTGCGTCAACCTGCAGATGTTGGTCCAATTTAGGCACTATGTAGTCGAGGAATACTATATGGTTTGTAGTTGTCGATCGTGCTGACCTAAAGCCATGCTGGGATTCGTCAAAATAAACCTTCAGCTGTTGAGTTATCTGTTTATTAAGTATTGATTCAAATATTTTTGCGAAGGTTGACAAAACAGCTATGGGTCTAAAATCAGCGATATCGTTCGATTGTCCACTCTTTGAAACAGGGGTTACCCTGGATACCTTCCACTGCAGAGGGTAGCTACAGTTTCCTATGCAGAGATTGAACAAATGGAGCAAAGGCAATTCAAGAGCCGTGGCGCAATCCCTAACAAGAAAAGCGGGCAAACGGTCAGGACCAACGGCGGACGTGGGTTTTAGTCGACGTACAGCATACTTTAAGTCAGCTAAAGTTATGCGATAAACACCTATTCTCGCCGAGTCACATTGACCTCCGGCACCGCAAACAGCGGACGCGGCGTCCGCGTCAAGCAACGGAGTGTCCTTCGAAAACACTGAATGGAAATATTTTGCAAACGTAGAAGCTACATCCTGTTCAGCAACAGTGACACCTTGATATTGATAATCGTTATAATACTGCCGCCCGCTCGCACGTCTTTCGCCAACGAACTTCCAGAATTTTTTTGGGTCTGATCTTATACCGGCTTCAATTGATTGCTTATATTTTAGATACGCTTCGCGAATGAGTGTCTTTATATGACTCCTATAATATTGAAATACCTCAAGATTAAATTGCAATCCTAATTGTTTATATTTACGGTGATGGAAGTATTTTATTTTTAATTTATATTTTATCTCTGGTGTATACCACGGAGGGTAGTACCTCAGAGGAGACCCTTTGTGATTTTTTAATGGTACACTACTAGCTAAAACCTTCCCGAGTATATCGTACATACATTCTGTGGCATAATCAACGTTTGTTTGCGCTAGCGTGTGGGACCAGTCAATGTTACAGATGTCATCATAGAGTTTGGGAAAATCGGCTTTACGGAAATCCCACTCGGGCGCAGGGCAGGTATGTAGTGGGACGGTATTACTAGCGCCACAAGGGAACGAGCCACAGGGCATGGTTAGAGTGATCTCAAGAGGTGGGTGTTGGGTGTCCGGCGGCACCAGTGGCTCGACATCACTAGACACCACCAGCTCCTCAGGCCTCAAATTGGACAGCACTAGATCTAAGGCGCGACCATTACAATTTAGAACTGGGTTAAGTTGACGTAAGTTACAAAAATTCAAAAAACATTCAAATTGCCTTCTTACAGAGTTATTACATGAGTATAAATTAAAATCGCCCATTATTAAAAGATTTAAAGCAGAGTATTTACACGTAGCGTTTTCTATACACGACAAAACATTCAAATATTGCTCTTCACTACAATTAGGTGGTAAATATACTACACAGACCAAAATTTTAATATTTTTGCGGTTAACTAAGACAAAAATCAATTCTTTATCACAAGTGAGGCCATCAAGGTCAGTAACTAATTTAGCTGAGCATGTTTCACTTACAGCAAGCATAACTCCTCCCCAGCCAGCATCTCCTAATCGATCTTTCCTGAATACGAGATATCCCTGAGGAAACAATTCAGAATTGAGAACTGAGCTATTAAGAAATGTTTCCGTTAATGCAATTAAGTCAAAACCGCTTGATGAACAAATATTATTATAAAAGGTCTCAGTTTTACTTCTAAGGCCTCTAACGTTCTGATAATATACCCCTAGATTTAATACTTGACGTTTAGTTATCCTTGGGTTTGGAACGAAAATTCTGCCTCCAGGGCTTAACACAAATATCTTCTGCCCAGTTTGCAGGAGACATGACAGTATCGGCCAGTCTTGATGGAACACTCAGCTTGAATGACGCATAGTCGCCCCTAGGCTGTAGTACTTCTACAGTGCACACGTCCGCTCCACAAACTGACGTCAAATGTTCGCGCACCTGCGCCTCGGTGGTGCCAGCCTTCACGTAAAACAGGTGCACAAATCGGCGACGTTCAGATGGTTCAAGCCCGGTTGAACCAGGGCTGGCAGTACCACGTGTAACGCGAGACACGCGAATGGGTCTTCTAGTTACCTCTGTCCAAACCTCATCGCCTTGGCTCAATGGAAGTGTGCCAGAAGCAACATCCGTAGGCTCCGCCGAAGCAACTTGCGCAGCGACTTGATTGGAGTCTCTCCCAGTTGGTAAGTGCTGCCCTGTTGCTTTCTGAGGGGCAGACGTGGTCCCGACGCGGCTTCGCCCGGCGCCAGAAGGTGGTTTTCCGGTCCTCATAGGCACAGGAGCGGCTACATCAACAGTATTAGTAATTTTATTTTCCAATAAATGTACCTTTGATTCCAACTTTCCAACTTTTTCGGTCAACTCAGTGATCGCCTGACACATTGGTGCAGTCAGCTCCTTGACAATTTTGCTAGTAAGTTCTGGCAGGCGTTCGTCCAAGGCCCTAAGAAGTTCCTCTCGCATTATTAACCGAATGCTATCAAGACAATAAGTATCATCCGCCAATGACTCCTCAAAAGTAATTGTTTTACTGCCCCGCTTTGTGTTTACGTACTCAGGGCCCCCCGATGGGCTGTCAATACGGGCAAAGCCACTGACGTCACACGACACAGGAACGGCGTCCTTCAGTTTCTCAGTACGTGCAGTCCTTTTGGAACAATGGGCAGTGCTTAGTGGTGTGTTTACGTTGCCCACTTTGGGCTGCTTACAAATACATTGTGGGCATTTCCACACGTTTTTATGTTCCTTGGTCATGTTATAAAACAGCTTTTCAGCCACATTGGCGCATATAATATCATACGGCAGAGTGCAAATACTGCAGATTAAATATCTCCTGCTTGTAATTTCGTTGCGACGTTTCGTTTAGAGAGATTTCATCCTTAACCAACTCTTACAATCGATGCAATAAAAATACAGGCTGTAATTTTTAATAGATTTTAGTCGGTTCAATTCTCGGGTGTAGCTTGCGAATTTTCGAAAATCTTGGAATGCAGTTTCCTTTCTTTTTAAAAATAAAGGAATGCTTTCTTTGAGTAAAATTTTCTATCTACAGTATTTAGAGTACTTTTCCTTCAGGTGGCATTACAAAATTCCACCCTGTATAAAGGTCACGGTCTCACCTCCCTCGAGCGTAGTCGCGGTGACCGGCGCGGCGGCGGGCCCGGGTCCCACAGCGTTGAAGGCGCGCACGCGCAGCTCGTAGTGTCGGTGCGGCCGCAGCCCCGCCAGCGTGGCCGCCGCCGCGCCCCAGCCGGCCGCCGTCAGCGCCGCCGTGCCGTTGTCGTCGACGCCCACCTCGCGCCACGTGACCACGTAGCCGAGGAGCTCGCCGTTCCACGACTCTTGGGGCGGTGCCTGGAATATTTATTGAGCGGTTGAACTATATAGCAGTGGAGAATGCCCAAAGTTATTACATACTAATATTATAAATGCGAAAGTAACTCTGTCTGTCTCTCTTTCACGCCTAAACCACTGAACCGATTTTGATGACAGGGACATAGTTTGAATCCCGGGAAAAGACATAGGATAGTTTTTATCCCGGTTTTTGAAACAGGGACGCGCGCGATTCAGTTTTTCTGTGATGACAAAATTCCACGCGGGCGAAGCCGCGGGCGGAAATCTAGTATGTCATAAGGCATTGTCTGTTATTAACTTTGATGCTAATAAAAATGTTGGGAGTAAAATTATAAAAGAGTTCTCGAGTGGCAACCACAGGATAGAAGACGTAGCGTGGGCAGGCCTCCTACTAGGTGGACCGACGATCTGGTAAAGGTCGCGGGAAGAACCTGGATGCGGGCAGCGTAAGACCATTCATTGTGGAAAACCTTGGGGAAGGCCATTGTCCCGCAGTAGACGTCATTTGTCTGAAACGAACGAAAATTATAAAAGATTGTTTTTCTTTGATATATATTGGCAAAATTACGAACCTGCCACTTGACCAAAAGTTCTCCAGGTGCCGTGGCCTGGACTTGAACGTTATGGGGAGGTTCAGATGGGGCTGAAAGAAATTGATAACGATTGGATATTAAACGAGTATTTTACACACCATAGGTTAGTTATTGCTTACCTGTAAAATTATAAAAAAAACTTATTTGTATTAAAATCATCTATTTACGTTTAAAATTCTGTCAAAAATACCACTTGCATGCTGTGGCAGTCGGTAATGAGGGTTTTAGCGATTGAAAAATCCGCCAGATGGCAATACGTAGACGGGAGGTCCAAATGCTGCATGATTGGTGGATTTTGACATATCTGTCAATGACATGTCAAAATCCACCAATCATGCAGCATTTGGACCTCCCGTCTACGAATTGCCATCTGGCGGATTTTTCAATCGCGAAAACTTCATTGATGTCACCTAGTCGCAAGATAAAATATGTATCTAAAACCCCTTTACTTGTATTTGTGTCTGTCATGTTGGTTGTCCTAAATAGATAAAATAAATAGTTCAGAGTTTTATTTACCTTCCTCCAAAGTCTGAACAATGACGGAGTCAGAGTAGTCGCTGTCCCCGATGGCGTTGACAGCGGCGAGCCGCAAGGCGTAGGCAGTGGCCGGCCTCAGGCCTTCCACTCTGTACTCTAACGTGATCTCCGACTCAGGCTCTGTGGATTCCTGTCTAAAATAATATTTATTACAAACATTTCAGTAAACAGTATTAACAGTATGTACATTATATACCAAGTATAAATAATTAAAAAAAAATGTTGCCTTAGAATCTTAAAAAAAAAATTATCGAAGGGTTTGGACGTCTCGTCTCTGATGTAAGGGATATCCGTACATCACAGATTTTCAACCATGCCCAATTTTTTGAGATTCAAGCAAGCAAGCAAGCATACTTCAAAGTGTATCGTTTATACTTCTATGTACAAACCTAGTAACACCCCCACCCAATGAAAATCAGTGTCTTAGCAGTAACATGCCAAGATTTACTGAGTGGGGGTGACCTTTTTGACAACATTTTTTTTCTGTGGCAAATATAAAATTTTAGTTGTCAAAAAATATCTGATGATGCTTTTTTCCATCATCGGGGAACCAGACGCAGGTTAGCGTACCATCCCTATATTGTTAACATTCCACCAGCTCGCACTAAGCGTTTCGATGACTCTTTTATAATGCGAACAGTTATAGTCTGGTCCGTGAGCACGTAGAATTTTGTCCAATGACCCCAAGATACCCATCCTTATCGCTCGCGCGTAATTATATTGCTGTCGCGACTGTGCGACGCGCGCCCGCAGTGAGTGTGCGAGCGCGATAGCAACATAATTACACGCGAGCGATAAGGATGGGTAGCTTGGAGTCATTGGACAAAATTCTACGTGCTCACGGACCGTGTTTTAGGGGGGTGCGCCAAAGTTCACCTAAATTTTCAACTCCGAAAATTGGAAGTCCGAAAATGTTCTTCCTAAAATTTTTCATCCTAACAATCACAATTCCTAACTACTCTGTCTCTAATGTTCATAATTCCGAATCATTCAACTTCATAATGTCATTAGCAATAAACATCTATTACACTTTTATTTGTTCTCCTAGATTTTCTAAACATAACCATATTTTACACTATTATTCAAAGTCATATCTTTTTTGTTTAGATTTCTTTCTTTAACGATATAATTATTAAAGTTCAAGTTTTTTGGCATTAGCACGTATACTTGAGTCCCGCTCCATTCATTCAGTCAAGTTCCAGAAACGAATCGGTCCTATTCATAATTATTGGTTTAGGTTAGGTTAGAACTGTGACCACAACGCACAAGTTCCAGAAACGAATCGGTCTATTCATTATTATTGGTTTAGGTTAGGTTAGAACTGTGGCCTTACGTTTTATTCGCGAAGAACGTACTTCTGTACGTAGTATTTATTATTATTCTATGGTATGAGTAAAAATATTATGGTAATGTTTAGGGATAAAAGTGTTATGATAAAAAACAGTAGGAGTTTAAATATATTTACATAAATGATATTATTAATTAAAATTTTCGGAAACATGAGTGTTATGAACCTCGCCGGTAGCACTACAAATAGTATGAATGAAAACTTTAGGATGAAAAATTTTAGGAAGAGTGATCATTCGGATTTAAAATCGTTAGGAAGAACAATTTCGGGTAAATAACTTTAGGTGAGCCAATATGGACCCGTTTTAGGGACTGGAATTCGCTGCCTGCTGCTGTCTTTCCCGAAGACTATAATCCGGGTCTTTTCAAGGCGAGAGTGAATAGGCACTTACAGGGCAGAGATACTCGTATGTACCATCCTAGACTGCATTCCTCTCAACATCAGGTGCGATTGTGGTCAAGTACCTGCCTTGTTATGCATAAAAAAAAACTTTTTCTTTTTTCGTGTTTACCTTTCAAGCACTCTATCGGCGGGCACGTCCCTGGTGGGCGCGTCGGCCCAGTCGGCGCGGTCTGGCTCGCGCTCGCCGACCACGCGGTACTGCAGGCGGTAGGAGCGCACGCGCGCGTTGCCGTCGTAGCCGCGCCGCCACGAGACGGTGGCGCCTCGACCTTCGCGGCGGACCACGTGCAACCCGCGGGGAGCTTCGGGGAATTCTGAAACGTTTTCAATTTATAAAAATTCTAATTACAAAAGACGAATAAAACGATCCTCAATATTGTTTTAATTAGGGTTTTCGCGATTAAAAATGCCGCCAGATGGCAATACGTAGACGCGAAGTCCAAATGCTGCGTGATTGGTGGATTTTGACATATCTGTCAATGTCATGTCAAAAATAACCAATCATGCAGCATTTGGACCTCGCGTCTACGTATTGCCATCTGGCAGATTTTTCAATCGCGAAAATCCTCATTGCATTTATTCATAATGGCTGCTTTAACGTTACCTACCGCTATGTAGTATTATTACTGTTTTAAGCATTAATTATTATTAACCTAAACACAATGCTCGATGGCCTCAGTAGAGCTTCGTCATAGATACATCATCAAATCACTCAGGGTCGCCGTACACGGGCTTCACGCCATAACCATCGGCATATTTACTGTGGCGGCTTTGACGCTGGTGGCCGCTACATCATCATCATCTCAGCCATAGGACGTCCACTGCGCAGATGTTACCCGCTTGGTAGCGGCCTGCGTCCAGCGCCTTTATTATGTCGTCGGTCCACCTTGTGAGTGGACGTCCCACGCTGCGTTTTCCGGTACTCGGCCTCCATTCCAGAACCTTGCTGCCCCATCGGCCGTCAGTTCTGCACACTATGTGCCCTGCACATTGCCGCTACGCGAAGATGTAAATATGCCAGTGGCGGCGTTTGGCATTGGCAACCCTTAGCTCTTAGGCTAGCACCCGCTTTATTTCTTCAGAGGCCAGATCGTTTGGAGAGGACTAATATTTCTCCCTTAGTTGTCTCTAAAGGATCATCCACGGAAGTCGTTATATTATTATGGTACTGTCAGAGTAAAATAGGCTCATCCCCACACATAAATTAATTAACATAGTCACGATAGCCGAACGATGAAGGGGTTGGAGTGGCCGACTCGAGATCCGAGGAACGCGGGTTCGAATCCCACCGCCACTCGACTATTGTGGTGAGCCCACTCATAACACAAGCTTATTTAGCTTAACACTAGAGTACACGCGCGGACTACTATAGTAGACCAGGGTAACATTTTACGCTAGAACTTTTTGAAAACTTGCGCTAGAGAGCTGGTATTCCAGGAAACCCTCGTTTACTAAATTTGTCAGTAAGCCAGTAAAGCTTGGGTCGCTAGAGTCTGCGCACTTTTCTAAAATTGGCCGTCAAAACTGCGGGTCTACTCAAAAACCCGAAATCACTCGACAAAAAAATTATGAAAGACTTGCAACAAATGGATTTACACCGTGTACCAGGCAGTAGAAAGTCATGAATACTATGACAGATAAAAAACTAATCATATTTTTTCAGTATTTTTTTTTGTTAACATTGGTCTCAGAGTGAAATTTTGGTCCAAAAAATTTACAACTTTTAAATCTGTTTATAATGTTTGATCCAAAATAGTTATTTAAAGAAACTTTGATTATAAAATAACTATATTAAACACTTTTATCATTTACATAGTAATTCTATTCATAAATTGCTTACAAACTGATTTACAGTGATTTTAAATTGGCTTACCAGAGTAGGCCGCGCGTGTATTCGTGTAAAAAAGGGGGCGCGTGTACTGCAGTGTTAACACGAGGGGTTAATGGGACTATTAGTAATTTGCTTCCTTACCTTGCACAGCCAAGTAAATGAGCAGCTCGTCCCTGCCGTAGGCGTTCTCGGCGCGACAGCGGTACACGCCCGAGTCGTGCCGCTCGGCGTGCGCGATGTTCAGCTGCGAGCTCACGCCGTTGTCTGACCGCTTTTCTGTGACTGACACACTGGAAATATAAAAAAAAAATAGTTTTAGCCTTCAAGCCCTGCGAATCGAGACAAGATATAAATCAATTTTAACGCGGTCTAAAGGTTCAGCCAAACCAACCCGATCAGCCGGCGTGCAGCGATGGCGATCAATGCATTTTTGTCTGGTCGCCATCGCTGCACGCCGGTTGATCGCGTGTGATCGCGTTGGTTTGACTGAACCTTTCGACCGCTTGAGGTTTCAGGGGTTAACACGTTTTTTGTCATTTAACTATTATTGTTTTAGCCATAGGACATCCACAGCTGAATGTAGGTTTTCCTCAATGATTTTCAGATTGGCTAGTCGGTAGCGGCCTGCATCCAGCGCCTTCTCGCTCATTTAATACGATCGTCTGTCCACATTGTGGGTAAATGTGCCACGCAACGCTTATTGGTATGTGGCGTCCACTCTAGAATCGTGCTGCCACAATAGCCGATGGTTCTGTTCTACGTGCTATGTGCCCTGCCTGTTGACATTTATTTAGCTTGCTAACCCGTCAGGCTATGTCAGCTGACGTATGTTTTTTGTATTACACAGCAAACTTTTGGTAGATACTTCAGCTAGTAAAACCTTAGATTATTTATGGAGGAACTACTTATGTAAATGAATTACCGGCGTACTATACCCGGAGTTTGGAAATCCAAAGTGAATTGCTAAACTCAAGTGGCAGTGAGCAAGGCTCTTAGCGTTGATGGCCGTTGGGACAGAAGTTCTCGAGTGGCGACCACGGGCTAGAATTTTGGGTAGGCCTCCCACTAAGTGGACAGATAATCTAGTGAAGGTCGTAGGAAATATCTGGATGCCGGCAGGCTTTGTCCAGCAGTGAGCAGGGTACTCATCTAGCCGTGTAGCATGTGATGCATCAGATACTGTATCAAGTGAGTACATAGGCACGAGCCCGTTGCGAGCTGCTCGCGCGTGGTTCGCAGGGAGATCGCAGCGACCCGCCGAGTGGCGGTATCACTGCGAGCACAAAGGCGGCTCGCAGTAGGATCCAGGAGCTCGCAGCCAGATACGCGATGACCGTGGACGAGCCGTACTCACATGAAGGTTGGTTACGTTACATGCTATAGTCTGGTCGCGGAGCACGTAGAACTTTGTTCAATGACCCCAAGCTACCCATCTTTATCGCTTGCGCGTAATTATGTTGCTGTCGCGCTCGCACACTCACTGCGGGCGCCCGTCGCACAGTCGCGACAGCAATATAATTAGGCCCTTTTCAAACGTCCCGGTTGCCGGCTAACCGGCGCCGAGTACCCGGTCGTGAAGTGTATGGGCATGCCGGATTAATCACGCCGGAACATGTGAAAGCTACGTATCATGCCCATACACTTCACCACCGGATACCCGGCGCCGGTTAGCCGGCAACCGGGACGTGTGAAAAGGGCCTTACGCGCGAGCGATAAGGATAGGTAGCTTGGGGTCATTGGACAAAATTCTACGTGATCAGCGACCAGACTTTACATGGCAGGCGAGTACCCTGCCGTGGATGTGATTGTGTGGGACGCACCGGTAGGTGGTGAGGTCGAGGCGCTTCATGTTGTGCGTCCACTGCAGCTGCAGCGGCGGGTCGCCGCGCGCGTCGCACGCCAGCGCCGCCTGCGCCGTGCGCCGCACCGTCATGTTGCGCGACGAGTACTCGAAGTGCGCCGGCTCTGGGGACCAGGGTTGCATGATTTAAATCAACTTGATTTAAATCACGATTTATATTGCATGATTTAAATCAAAGGCCGAAAATGGAATTAATGAAAGGCTGGGAGTTTATATTAATCAACTGTAATGTTCGAAAACAATGTTAATAATAGGTGTTAATGTATGAAATTGATGTTTTGAATAGAGAATCAGAAAAAAATATTTTTTCCGTACAAACATGTTTGCGATATTTTAGATAACCACACAATTTATTTTTTTTGGTGGTGTTGCCAGCTCTATCCATCAATTCTACGTAAATAAAAATGTTTTCCGTAAGAAAAACTAAAGAAATGATCGCAAAACGTAATAAAAATCGAAAAAATCAAATAAATAAAAAAAATCTGATTTTTTTGATTAAAATAAATAAATCATGATTTTTTCCATCCTGCTAGGGACCAATAGAAACATCAGAAACTCAAGTGTTTACTTGTGCAACTAGAAAAACAATTTTCATACATCTTTGGAATTTTTTTTGTCATCATATTGTTCAGCAAGATTAGGGCTCGTTCTCACGGCAATCCAATCATCTACATATTATCTAACTTTATCAATCACTAGCTTTTGCCCGCGGCTTCAACCGCGTGAAATTTATTTTGTCACAGATCGTCATAAATTATAGCCTATATGTTATTCTAGGTTATAAACAATTATACTGTAAAATTTCAATCAAAATCCGTTCAGTAGTTTTTGCGTGAAAGAGTAACAAACATCCAGACATCCACACCAACTTTTGCATTTATAATATTAGTAAAAAGTAAAAAGCAAGATTTGCTGATAGCTACCAACATTCACCTAAGTCTGCTAAGATTCTACCAACCATAAGACCACAAAATTGCTCAGGCAACGCACATTATTATAGACAAAGCTTACGTTTACTTACATGTTTTGCCAATAATTGTAAATCAGTGCGAGCGCTAATCTCGCCCGCTTGAGACGCGACTGGTGCATGCATGCAGAATGAAGTACATTATCTTAGTGCGAGTTTACACCAAACGTCATTAAATGTATGACAGATCGTACAGCGTCCCTAGCGGATACTTTATAGAACTAAAATCTTCATTTTTTTTGACGCACTAGCAACGACGTTCAATGCAAACTCGCACTAAACACACAGGTGATTGTCTTCTGTCACTACCTATTTAGTGTTGTCCGCCGTCCTTACCGTTACGGTACGTTATTCCCACCACTGATCTACAGCTTGACCGCCATAAAATACCCAACCAATGAAGGTCAAGTTTGTCCCGGGGGAAAGATAAACTGTAATTGGGCCCGCAGCGAAATGAATCAGAAGAACATAGGAGGAGTTCGAAATTAAGGTTCGACTTCCCTCCATTGCAAAGCGGATGACAGGTGACAAACGAAGGTTTGCGTCCTTACCGTTAACAGAAACGGTGATAACCTTCGACAGGCCGCGGCCGATGCCGTTGTCGGCGCGGCACATGTAGCGGCCGGCGTGCGGCGGCGCGGCCGGCGCGATGCGCAGCGACCCGTTGGCCAGCACCGAGAACTGCAGCTCCAGCGTCGACACCGGCCGGAAGTCGCCTGGCCCCGACCCTGGGAGGAGTCAGCTTTTATTCTTGCTAACATTAGAGAAACGTTTCTTGTAATAAACGTCACATAAATACAAAAAGAAACATGATCATCAATCCGACCGATTTCGGCCATGGCGATCACTCGGACTCCTAGCTGTCTTGGCGGCGCTGGTGTGCCCGAAGATGGCTTACGTAGCCGATCTTCGCGGCAAACCTCCTTGCACATTAAGGGCATCTGAGCACGCCACCAATATAGTTATAATGAATGGCGGCAGCTGGACGGGCCTTCAAGTCATCGCGCTTCGCGTCGAGTTCATTCGTACGCTGCTTCTCAAACTCGTGGACTCGCCTCTTTACAATCTCCCGCCATTCTGGAAGCTGTGCTGCCAAACCATTAGGTTAGCTCAGTGCCTGAGTATGGGATCGACACGGGAGGGGTGCCATAGACATAATATGTCATACAAATCTGAAGTCTCGCTGACGTTTGACGTATCAAAAACACCTTTCCGTGCCGCTCCCATACCTGAGACTGACTGATTTAGACCTATATCTGATAAAACATTAAAAAGAAAGAAAGTGTACTGAGCGAGCAGTTATTCTGTTGCACCAGCGATGCCCATTGCAATGCGGCCCCACTCAGCATACGCCGTGGCCCACGGTGACGAAAGCCACGACACTATTTCAAAGATGACTCGGGAACTGCCCTCCTAGACAAGTGGCATAACGTAACAGTTGTAATTTTGAAAGGCCTTCATTCTGGTATTCTATAGTAGTATAGTATATCTTATGTCATTATTACACACTGTAAAACCCAGGTTTTCCTAAATAAATAAAAAAATATTCTATTTTCGAAGCGATCAAGAAGTCCCACTAATCTAGAGCTCTTGAATTAGGTAATGTTAGAAACAATATCACATTATTATTTGCAGTTACAGATAGTTTTAAGTAGAGATGAAACGGATATCCGGCAACTATCCGGTAGGCCGGATATCCGGCCTAAATTTACTATCCGGCCGGATACCGGATAGTAACTCACTATCCGGCCGGATACCGGATATTAAAAAACTACCACAATTTCCTATTAATAAAATGAAAAACATTAATCTTTGAGGTAAATATCAATAAAATGGCTTATAATAATGACGGCTTTTATTTAATGTCCAAACAGTTACAAAAAAGCCTTTCAAAAAACTAATTTCTTTTTCTGGGCTATTCACTTTAATGACGAATACATAAATACAGGGTGGCCCAGAAGAAAATTCACTTTTGAAAATTGAAGGAAACCAAAACTGTAAATTATGGAACTTTAACTATTGCAATTTGAAGGAAATTTAATGCAATTTATTTTTAAATTTACCTTTATTAAACTACATCGCCCAGGAGATTTCCTTGACGCTTACAACATTCGATCAACATACATCAAAATCTTGAAATGCGTTCGTTAGAATTACCTCGAAACCTATTTTCAATTTTTTGCCGAATGCTCAGCTTCAGTTGCTGCATGTTTGTTGGATTATAAAAGTATACTCTATTCTTAATGTAACACCACAAAAAGGAATTTTCTGGAGTGAGATCAGGGCTTCCTGGTGGCCAGGAGATGTCACCCCTGCCTGAAATTATTTTTTTGTGGGAATATGTCTCTTACCATCTAAATGCTCTCATTTGAAGTGTGACACGTAGCCCCATCTTGGTGAAACCAAGTGCTCCGGTCATAGCCTTGCAAATCTTGCAGCTTTAAAAATCAAAAAGCTTTTCAGCCTACTATAGTATAGCATTCTCAAAAATTATCATGCTTTCAATGCAACAAACCAATTAAGCAGGGATCACTGCCTCTAAGAAGCGCTAATCTCATTCCAGCAGACTTCTTTTTGCGGGGTTACCTTATGAGCAGAGTATACTCTAATAATCCAAAAACTCTGCAGCATTCATTCATCCTGAATCCATTTCGAGGTAACTCTAACGAAAGTTTTCCAACATTCGGTCAACATACCGAATGTTGTAAACGTCAAGGGAATCACATGTACGATAAAATTTATAAAAGGAAGTAAATTTTAAAATAAATTGCACTAAATTTCCTTTAAATTGCAATAGTTAAAGTTCTACAAAAATGTACAGTTTTCGTTTCATTAAATTTTCAAAAGTTAATTTTCTTCTGGGCCACCCTGTAGTAAATAATATCCGTTAATGTCGAAATATTGCCAAATAAAAAAGGCGATCTTTTTTTCACTGATGGTTTGATGACATGATGCATGCAGTTCAGTCAGATTACGCAGCAAGTAAACTAATTTAATTTTCGCTATTCAATCACACACTCACGATAGCAACCGAAATCGCTCGAATTGATCTGCCCCCTAGACAAGTGGCAAAATCTGACATTCTATTCGGACAGATTCGATTTTCAAAAAGTGTGACTAGTCTAGTCTACTAATAGACCCACTGATCGCGTTCGAAGCACCTGTGCGGCGCTAAACTCGTCACGACATGAAACTAGACAATGGGCCAACTATCCGGCCGCCGGATATCCGGCTATCCGGCCTAGCAGCTGGCCGGATATCCGGCTATCCGGTATCCGGCCAAACGACTATCCGTTTCATCTCTAGTTTTAAGACAGTATCAAATTCATGATCTAAAAGTCTTACCGTGCGCCTTCAGCCACGCAATCCTAGGTTCAGGATAACCTTTGGTTGCACAGTTGGCCAATATCTGTGTGCCCAGGAGAGCTGACACGTCTTGAGGCTCGTATACCCACGTAGGTGCCACTAGAAATAAAAAAAAAATATTAAGGCATACTTTTGAAATTTCAAGAACATTTTTAATTGCAGAATTTTATTATGTGTAGCATGTAAGCATCATGATTGTACATTACCTTTAACTGCTAACCTGGCAGTGTGGTTGACTTCAGCGGCGGAGTTGGTGGCTACACACGTGTATTCCCCACTGTGTTTTGACGTCACGTGGGAAAATATCAGGAAACTAAATTCATCCAATGATTTTTCTTGCACCTAGAAATATACAAACCACAATCACAAATTAAAATTAGGTAGGTACCATTTTTTCTAACATTCTAGATTACAAAAATAAAAAATACAAAATATTTTAGTTCATTACAAAAGTACTTAAATAACAAAGTTATATTAAAAATTACTTTACTCGGCGCAGACTCGTGGCAGGCGGTGTAATAATAAAACAGTGCATAACATGTCTTCTCTCGCACTCACACTGGTTATGGGTGACGTCACACAGAGGCAGGCATACCGTTGTTGAATGTGCATCTCTGTTTCAAAAATTACTTATAGCCCCGCCTGCCACAAGTCTTTGCGTCGAGTATAGTCATTGATAGGTAGTAAAGATTACCTGTAGACTGCTCGGGATGTGTTGTCCGTCTTTGAGCCAAGAGAAATAAACTGGCTTGTCTCCGGAGGTGATGCCACAAAGCACTTGCACTGAACTGCCCTCAACCAAGTCCGTTGGAAATGAAAAACCGGCTATTTTCGGCGGATCTGAAAAAATATTTTACAAGACCCTTGAAAGTCTAATGCACATTTTCACTATCGATCCCTAATTTTTATTTATTTATTTAAAACTTATATGCACATAGAACGGTGTACATAAGGCGGACTTAATGCTTTTCTTTTTAAGTGACACATATTATGGTAACACATAACAGGCATTTTTTTTTCATAGGGGTCATTTCAAAATTAGGGATTGATGGTGAAAACGGACATAAGAGGAGTAAACTAGAACTTTGATCGCCGATGAAGTCATATAATACACCTATGGTGGACCTAAGTCTGGCAACAGTTTTGCGGGCCAGCTATGATCAGCGCGCGTGCGGGGCGTGGACGCGTATTGGCAATTGATGCGTCGCGGCGTCATATTGGTACTAGGGTCGAGCTGTAGTAAATGCGTCGCGGAAGCGATGCCACCACCACCGGACAGTCACAACTGACCGAGAAGAAGCTCGGGTCATTAGCTTTCGCTCGACACCAATGCTGGGCAATGGCTGATGAACCTGGATCGGATCGCGGCGATCGACCGAATATTCTAGCTAGACCGCGAAAACCGTTACAGGGGGCGCGGGGGTAAGGCTCGCGCGGGATTCGAACACCGCCCATCGGGTGGCGTGATGCCGGCGCGGTAGGCGAGAACCGGTTGGCTATACTGTAAAGTAACGAATATCACGAAAAGACGAAGGAAAAGTAAAACTCACTTCTAACAAAGATCTGTATATCCTTCTGTGCGTACTGGCCGGAGGGCGCGGCCACGCGGCACGAGTAGAGCCCGGCGTCGCCCGGCTCGGCCGGCCACAGCAGCAGCTCGCCGCCCAGCCCCGACAGCGCGCGCCCGCCCGCCGAGCCCAGCTCCAGACCCCCTCGCTGCCAACGGATCTCGCTGGAATCACAAACACATTGTTTTTGAAAAGCAGCTCAACTCGAGCTCATTATCAGTAACACCAAATAAATTATTCAAAAATCAAAAGTATTTATTCAGTTTAGACCACAAGTGGCACTTATGAACGTCAGAAAATAATAAAAAAAGAAAAGGTAGCCCTTATGGGGCACTTTACATGTCTCCTTATCTTTTGGGCCCTACCAGCGCTTCGAGACAAACATAATGGCAAGTGCTGAGAAGAAACGCCGGAACAAACTCAGTCACCACTAATTGCCAGGAATTATCTAACGGTAAGAATAACCAAATTCGAGTAGATCAAATATGTGCAGATTGAACTGACCACGCATCCTTGTCATCAATATAGTCTCGAACCTTGTAGTACCCTTTGAACATAAGGGTATTTTTTATATTATCTTAAAAGACAATGCCGGAAATTGGCGTCTTTTTTTTTTCGCACGGCCATCGACCAAACTTTGTTTTTTGATTACAAAATAGTGTAATAAACCAAACTTACTATGACATGTATACCTCTAAACTCAGTCTGAACTGAGTTACGAGCATTAGAAGTTTGATGATTTTCATACTAGATTTGCTTTTTGCGCGCAAAGTTTTGTAAGAAATTGCAACAAAATAGTGAGATTGTATGTGTAATCAAACAATATCATCCATTAAAGGCTCCAGACATCAGTATGGAGCAGAATCAGCGCAATATTTTGTTGCAATTTCTTACAAAACTTGCGCACAAAAAGCAAATCTAGTATGAAAATAATCAAACTTCTATTGCTCGTAACTCAGTTCAGACTGAGTTTAGAAGTATACATGCCATAGTAAGTTTGGTTTATTACACTATTTTGTAATCAAAAAACAAAGTTTGGTCGATGGCCGCGCGAAAAAAAAAAGACGCCACTTTCCATACAAAATCTGGCATTGCCATTTGTTTATTGGCATTATTCATTTAGGGGGTTTTGTAAAAATACCACAAAAATACAATTGAAGACAAATAGGAAGAAAAAGAAGACAGAACAGATCACTAGTCGTACGATTTAGAAGAGGCTTACTTAGAGGGAAAAGTAACTAAACAGACTACGAAACAAAACGAAAATGAAACTTATAATTTTACTAAGCAAATGCACCTCCATCAACCTGATTGGAAATCCAGAGTATGGGCAGTGGATGGTCGTGTTGACGCCCGCCACTACTCGTATCGGCCCCACGTTTCTGATAGACGGTGGACCTGGTGTACCAAAGATATTATCGTACATAAAACAGGGCATGTTAACTATTTTGATTTGTGAGTTTTAAAGCCTGGTCCGTGAGCACGTAGAATCCCGTCCAATGACCCCACGCTACCCATCCCTATCGTATCCTTATATTGCTGTCGCGACTGTGCGACGGGCGCCCGCAGTTAGTGTGCGAGCGCGACAGCAACATAATTACGCGCGAGCGATAGGGATAGGTAGCTTGGGGTCATTGGACGGGATTCTACGTGCTCACGGACCAGGCTTTAGATGAATCGAAAAAATGGATATGGGATCCCATTTTCCCACATTTTGTGTGATGGGTTGTGATGGTTGAATTTCAAGCGCAATGACAGTATAGAAGCATAGTAAATACAAATGAGTAGGTCATCTTCATAGAAACGCACGGGCGCGGTTTGTATGTGTGCGTGCCAACACGTATGCGGCGCGCACGCACACACTGACAAAATTTAGCGGGGATTAGCGAGGTTGTCGCTAGTCGTGGTTGCGTCGAATTTTGTCAGTGTGCGCTCATATACAAACCGCGCTCGGGTGTGTTTCTATGAAGATGTACCTACTCATTTGTAGTTACTCTGATAGAAGCGTGTTTATATCTTTAATTGAGCCAAGATTGTTCAAGTTATTATATCTAGGAGCACAACAAGTCTTACCATAGACATTGAGCCTGGTCGAGTGTTCGACGGAACCGCGCGAGTTGTGCGCGCGGCAGGAGTAGCGGCCGCCGTCCTCGGGCCGCACCGACGTGATGTTCAGGTAGCTCACCACGTCGCCGTTGGAATTCATGAACTGGCTTACGCTTCTGAGGAGTACAATTAACATACTCTTGAATGGAATTAAAAGTGAAGATTAACACATTTTTAAAACCACAATGGACTGTAGCTCCTTGGCCATAGTCTTACCTAATGGTAAGTGATGATCAGTCGGAAATTATAGAGACAAGAATCACCAGAAATGCTCAACTAGTTTCTCTGGTTGTGCTGTCTGAAAGTGATTTCTTTCTTATACAATAGCAAAAGCCTAGCTAAGGATTTACTCTTAGGTTCCAAACTAGGAAGCAGATCAATTACTAAGAGCCATAGCACACGATGCGTTGCGGATCAAAAATCCACACGTCAAAGATCGCATCGCGCGGCGCGAAGGGTGCATCACTCGTGTGCTCGCTACAGACATGTAAGATAACGCAGCGACACCGCTTCGACGTCGCACCGCCGCCGCAACGCATCGTGTGCTTTAGCTCTAAAGACGTTGTTGTTGATCTTCGAGAAAGATTCATTCCAGATATTACCTTTGGGGAGTGTTGTGTTCCTCAACCGGCTGTCCGTCCAGTAGCCACGTGAACCTGGGAGGGGGAGACCCGGACGCGGCGCAGTGCATTGCCAGCGCCGGGCCCGGGTGCAGCGCTTGCTCTATGAACGTGTAGTGCAGCTCTGGTGCTGTATCTGTAAGCAGTTGTAGGAATATTTTTGGACACTTATCCAAAAAGTTATTTTACCTTTTACCATTCATTAAGTTTCTTTATAGGCATCCCAGTCCGAAATTATTGTTGACGATGTTAATATTGTTTAACCGAGCTTTTTGTTATGTGAGTTCCCGTTAAATAAATAGAATTATGATAGGGTTAGCTCCACAAGAGGTTATCAGTATGCCCCGTCCAAATACTATTAGTATAAGATCCCGCTATACAACGACCTTCACCGAGATGCTTATTTGATGAAACATATTTTATATTCAATTTAACATGTCAATAATTATATTGCTTAAGGGTTGCCTAATAAATTTCAGTCCAGGATATGATTAATTAATCATTAAAAAAAGTTTTATATTTAAATACATATTTCATCGGTTTGATTATTAAACAAACTCCATACCAATCGAAAGTATGAAGCCCATAGAATATGCAAACGTTAAGTTGCCTATTCTTTTCCAGTCATAACTCTCGGGTTGCCAGGTATAAACAGGTAAATTGATAGAGCATTTTGCATCGGTCTGATAATTTAATCAAATATAAATGAAAATAAAGATTATTTCATTATGAACACGGTGGTATAGGGTTGCCTGCGAAAAATCAGTCCTGAATGACGGTTGTCGAATTTTGTAAAGTGAAATTAAAACTGAAAGGTGACATTTTTCGAGTAGTTGGCAACATTTGGGAAAGACGAGTTGTATGAGGCGTTTGTGTGTCTTGTCAAGAGGTGTCGCTTGGGTGAAGAAATTTCTCCAGTGTTGCCATGCTTTCGGAGATTTGGTCCAAAAATGTCGAAAGTGGAAATAACGACTTCCGGTCAAAAATTTGGATGACGCCTCCTGCAAAAGGGTCGTACAAATGACATTTGACCATTTTCATCTCGATCACCTGGCAACACTTGCAGCTATGGGGAAAAGTATTTTTTTTCGACATGGGTGTCTTTAAAGTTAAGGACGGACAGAAGGAGATATGGCAGAAAAAATCCAAAAATGGGGTTTGGTCGGTTATACGACCCAAATTATGGGAAAAATCCGAAAATTCAGAAAATCAAGATGGCGACCGAGTGAGCGGCCATTTTGTGAAAAGTTTCAAATTTCTGATTTTTCAAATGCATTTTTTGGGCAGTTGGCAACATTTGGGAAACTCGAGTTGTATAGAGCGATTACGTAGTTTGCTAAGGAGTATCGTTTGGAAAAACAACATTTTCCAGTGTTGCCATACTTTTAACAGAGCTGAAACAATTACATAAACTTCAAAGATTCAACGTCATTTTAGCCATTGAAAGTACCTAGATACATAATTTGTAATCAAATAAACTTCTAAAAGCACTTCTTGTTAAAATATGAGTCTAACAACCAACACAATATACTTATTTCTAATTTCTTCTGCATACTAATTGTTTAATGTTATTGTTTTCTGTTTGAAGTAACGTCAATACGAGAGTCAACTTTCATAAACGTGCCTTTAGTATTAAATTGTACACGTGCGTCGTGCGGGTCTATGGTCTGGCTGTTGTTGCTAAGCGGCGGGTGTCGCGTTTGACGATGTATAGCGAGCGTTTGTCACAGGTCATAACGGGAAGCTGCAGGGAATATATTGCCCGCCCGACATGAACCGAGATATAAACAATAGAAACTGAACCAAACGACGCGAAATGGCTGCGATACTATCCCATAACTGACGGCTCACTTTGTATTCTAAAATCAACCGTCATATTTACAGAATATACGAGGTTTATGTCAAGTAATTTATGTTTTATAGGGGGCGTCCATAAATTACGTGAGACAATTTTGGCTATTTTTCAACCCCCCCGCCCCCCTTGGTGAGATTTGGTGAGATTTTGCCTGACCCCCTCCCCCACCCCCAAATCTCACGTGATATTAAAAAAAATCCGAAATTTAATAGTTTTGGAGTAATATAACTGAGAAACATTTCTTTTGTGTGCTTTAACGTTGTCGCTAACGAGTGCATCAAAAAGATCTATAAAGTTAAAGATTTTAGTTCTTGAAAGTATCTGCTAGGGACGCTGTACAATCATCATACATTTAATGTACGTCATTTTTTACACAGTCGCTAGCGGATGACGATTGTGTAAAGTCGCACTAAGCCCACTGATTACGAATAGATCCAGAAAAACACGTGTAGTGTTAGTACTAGGGTCACATTGTTTTTTTACAGAAGTACCCAGTCTAATTGTTCCTTTCTACAAAATCACTAATAATCTAGCAAAATCGATTTTGATAAAAAAATAACTTATTTATATTTTTTTTAATTTCGTCATTTATTCTGCATTTTAGTATTCACACATGCAGACGGAAGCATTTTTAGTTTTATTTGTTTAGACTGTATAGAATAAAATGACAATATCATCATACAAATATCATTTTTTAGTCCTGACAAGGAACCCTTAATATAAGTAGTTTCGATATGTCTGGCTGTCTGTCTTTCCGAGGTTTTGCTTGGAAACTATTGGCACTATTGTAATTTTGTAGAGCTATGTATATTAATCACGCCGACAAAAGGGTAGAATAAAATTTTGAAAAAAAAAAATTCTAGGGTAGCTAGCTCCCCTACATTTAAAGTGGGGATGATTTTTTTTTCGTCTTCTACCCCATCGTGTGGGGTATCGTTGGATAGGTCTTTTAAAATGGCTTAGGGTTTTCTAAGACCATTTTTCGATTTAGGGATCCGTTTGCAAAATATTAAGTTTAAAGTGCAAATTTTTGTCCGAGTAGGGCGTCCCCCCCGCTAAAAACTTAACTGTTGGCTTGATAAATCTGGAAAAATTCAAGATTATAGTGCTTTTTATAAACTTTCAAGGAAAACTATAGCGGTTAAGATAGATCAGTTAGTTCAAGAGTAATAGTCGTTTTACTCGTGTATTATAAAATTTCATACCTAATAAAAATTCCTTAGAAGAAAATATTAAAAGTGACTTTAGATGAAGTAATTGCTTACTTCTGAAATATATTGTGATAACGACGGACAACTACGGAACCCTACACTGCGCGTGGCACGACACGCACTTGGCCAATTTTTTTACTTAAGATTTAACCCAGTTTTCTAGCAAACTCTATTTCTCTATTTCTTATGGAAAAAAATACGTGATATTTCCCGAGACCCCCCCTCTCCCCCACGTGAGATTTGGTGAGGTTTTTGTTGACCCCCTCCCCCCCCCCTAAAAGCCTCACGTAATTTATGGACGCCCCCTTAACCGCCTCTGTAGTAAAGTGCTAAGACCACCTGCTTTAAACTCAGAGGTCTCGAGTTCGATTCCCATAGGGGGCACAGATTTTTCTGTTCTTAAAAATTTTAATAGTACGTACTTAAAAATCGTCAAATATTTAACTCTTAATGAGCCTCTACATGTCTCATAATCTTTTTACCCTACCAGCGCTTCGAGACCAACATTTGGCAAGTGCTGAGAAGAAGCGCCGCAACAAACTCAGTCACCACTGTCTGCCGTTTAATAAGTATAAATAAATAGTAGAAGTAGGTACCTTACCTACATATTGTGTTACAATGCTTCTGGCTGAGTTGCACCAACTTGCTATAACAATAACTAATAAGAATACATAACCGGTGTTTATAATATGGAGTTTGAGAGATTTTTATGTTAAAGTAAAATGGTGCAACTCAGCTGATGAACTTAGCCTTACAAATCAGACATTAGGTAATTTATTTTTGCAATCTTCTAGGACCGTTTTCTTATAAGAGTCATCAAATAGATTACTCTTTACATTTATTGTCAATTCCCTGTAAGTTTCCATAAGGGGCTTCCAATAAAACCCTTTCCGTCTCATAAGAACTGGTGTTTTATGTGATATCGTTTATCACAGGTCATAACGTTGGCTATTAACGAGATATATCGCTCTTCTGACGATATCAGATAATAATGGTGCTCTAGTTTGATCCTGAGACGTGAAATGATTTTATATGGGTAGGTACTTGGGTCTATTCATTAATAGGTAGGTAAATAGGTAGTACCCTCAGATCATAGAAGGGAATAGATGTGAAACGGGGGCGTGGCGCGTGTCTCCGCGATATGCCCAGAAACGAACATCGCCCGCGACGCCAGGTTAGTCGCGATTCAGTCGTACTGAGGAAATGTTCTCCGATATTGTTGGATAATGCGTCGTAACGTGCAATAACATAAGTGAAACGAAGAACTACAGGAACAATGAAGTCATTTACCACATGTAAGTATTGCAAATCCATTGGTATTTTGCTTATCTATATATATAAAAATGAAACCCGTTTCGCGTTGTCACGGCATCACGTGTGAACGGCTGAACCGATTTCGATAATTCTTTTTTTTTAATGTTTGTGGAAGTCCAAGGATGGTTCTTACGGAAAAAAATATTAAGAAAATCTCTACGCTAAGGCGGTACGAAGTTCGCCGGGTCAGCTAGTAAATAAAAAAAACTAAACATTTTTACGAACGAATTCAGTGCCGTGACATTTACTGCGATATCGAAATTAGTGGTGATAAAAATTCAAACACGTTGTACATTGACGATTTAGTTAGCAACCACTTTATGTCATGCGTAACTACTGCGCAATGTATTTTATTTCTTCCGATATCCACTGACGCGTGAAAATACACAGTACGGCCGCACGTGCCGGTCGTAACATAGTGCAGGGCTCGTGTTCTAATACGGTTTCCTATTATCGATAAAATCATACAAGCATTTTTTAAACCAATTTCGAGCCTTGCCCCCAGGATTTAAAGTATCGATATCTTATCGACTCCATTTTATCTTTCTTCTCTCTAATTTCTTTGTTCAAAGTGTGCGTCACGTCACGCGGCCATTGATTGGCCATAAGGCACGCCTTCTGGCCAATCACAGCACTTTTAAGCCGGTTGCACATGTTGTCGTAGACTCTCAGTCGCTTTGTTTTTACACAGTTGAATGTGTGTGTGGGAGCTGTGGTGGGGGAAATGTGGGGACACTGGTTCTCGTTGTAGTTACG